CACCCCCAGGACCTGCAGGTCAGGCCCCCCACCCACATACAAGAAAGAGTCCCCAAACGCTTCACAAAGGGAGCAAGGAGACAGGCTCCAGGCGGGGAGCCTGTCCCTAAGGCCCTGTGACGGGGCTGCAGGACCACCCCTCAGCCACCAGGAGGCAGTGAGGGGAATGAGTCAGGAGGGCCAAAGACATTTTCCAGAGAAGTCCCTGGAACAGCGGTCCCCAACCTTTGGGCATCAGGGACCGGTTTTGTGGAAGACAGTTTTTCCACAAACTGAGGTGGAGTGGGGGGGATGATTTGTGATGACTCAAGTATATTACATTTATTGTGCACTTCATTTCTATTATTACACCAGCTCCACCTCAGATCATCAGGCATTAGATCTCAGAGGTTGGGGACCCCTGCCCTAGAGGACCCCCTTACAGAATGTTCTGGGGGGAGCCCTGGCACAGTCCCCATTGGAAAGCTCAGCTGGGAATGCCCAGGACCACGCTGGCCACAGGCCGAGGTGCCGTGAGGTGCCGGGGCCACCCCTGCCCCCTTGTCTCGTGGCCTCTGGAAACCTCAGCTCCCCAGGACCACGCTGGCCAGCCCTGCTACTCCTCGCAAGGCTGCGTTTCTGGAAGGCTTTGATTCTGTCTTTAGGGGCTGTGCTTTTTCAGACTCTGTGGACTCCTGCTCCCGGTTAAGATAATATTTTGAAGAATGTGTGAAAACCGTATGGCTGACCACGGTCCTCCAGAGCCTCCCTTTGTGACGTCCGATCAGGCCTCTAGCAGAGCCCTGCGCCCAGCTCCTGGGTTTCGGATCGTGGTATGGAGAAGACAGCTTGGCCTGGGAGAACCGGAGGGTGACCTCCCTTTGGTCCTGGGTGTCCACAGCTGTTAGTTTTCTTCTCGAGCTGAGTTACCTCATGAACTGCAAAGACAGAAGGTCTGTTTGTCTCACAAGGAGGCGGCTCCCCCGGGGGCCTTGGAGGCCTGAGGGGCCCAGCGAGAGGGCCACCATGGCCACGTTCAGCTGCGGTTGCTGGAGGAGAAGGAGCCAAGGCTGAGTGGGCGCCCAGGTCCCAGGCAGCCCCCAGGGCAGCTCTGGCTGTGGCTGGACTGAAGGACCTGAAGCCCCGTCCCCAGGGGCCATCATGGAGACTCGTGGGGACCCTGAATGGTGGGAGGCTTGGTCAGGCCCCTGAGCCACCAGAGCAGCCAGAGACAGGACCGAAAAGTCACGTGGTGAAGGGATGCGTCCCACCTTCTCTGTCTCCTCACCTGTCCTCCCCAAGCCAGGGTGTCCAGCGGGAATGGGACTGTGCTCACCCCCCGGGCGAGGATACAGACACATTGAAAAGAAGCCCTTTTCATGGGCTGCATTGTGTCCCCCCGCCAACAAGTTCACATGTCGACGTCCCAACCCCAGCATCACACAACATGACTGCATCTGGAGACGGGCCCTTTAAAGAGGTGATCGGATAACATGAAGTCATGTGGGTGACCCTGACCCTGTGTGAGCAGGTCCTAAGAAAGACAGGAGAAGAGAAGGCCTAGACGCAGGATGGAGAGCACGTGAGAAGACGGCTGGGTGTCCACACGCCAAGGAGAGAGGAAAGAACGCAGCCCCGTGACCCCCGACCTTGACTTCCGGCCTCTAGGTCAGCGAGAAAACACACTTGTGCGGCTCCCACACCAGTCCGCTGCATTCTGTCAAGGCGGCCGAGCTGACTCTTGCGGTCCACGCGGGAGCTGAGAGGACGGCAAGCCGCCCAGACACAGCCCGGCCCAGGGGCGGCGCGCCTCAGACTCGCCTTGGGAACTCGCGTGTGGAGAACACTCCCCTGCCTGATGGAGACCTGGGGTGGTGAGGGCAAAAGGCCCCTACGGAGAGAGGAGACCGGCCCGGGCAGGAAGCGAGGGCAGCTTGTGGGGAAGCTGAGCAGACACTGTGGAGAGTGGACCGTCATGTGGGCCGACGCACCAGAAACTCCCAGAGGCCCCCCTTCCTCCCCAGGGGCCCCACTGTGCTGACAGAGGATGGATAAGCAGAGAGACGCGACACCCCAAGAGCAGCCTCGGCCGATGCCCAGAGGGGTGTAAGTACCCTCACCCCCTCTCCCCTCAGCACCCACCAGGGACAGGGGTCCTGCCCGGCTCCCAGGGCCCCTGGGGGGTGGAGGGCCCGTCTGCTGCGCCGGCCGACATGCTCCCTCCCTCAGGGGCTCCCTCCCTTCCACGGTCCTTCTCACTCACTACCCTGCTTCTGCGACCAGATAACCTGCTGCCCTTGGACCCGACTCAGCTTCTGGAGTTTAAGAAGTTAAGGCGACGCCAAACCTCCGAGAGCAAGGCCTCGGGGACCACACGTTCAGCATCGCCTGAGCTCCACGCCGCCAAGACCCGCCTCCAAACACCTGCCCTGGTTGAGGACTATCGTCGCTTTCCTCATCGGAAGCTCCAGCTCTGAGGGTCAGTGGCTGCTCTGAGGGGGCGTCTGGAGGGGGCAGGTCCCAAGGCTGAGACCCACCTCCGCCCGATGTGTGGGCAGGAGCCTGGGCTGTCACTTTGCTGAAACACTGATGTAGGGCGTGGGGAAGCTGGCGGAGGGGAGCTGGGTTGGATCTGAGGCCACAGCCGTCCTCCCCGGAGCAGGCTGCCCTCCACCCTGGGCCTCCTGCCTCTGCAGTGGTTTATTGGCCACAGTGAAGGTCAGAGTCACACAGCAATCACTGGCAATACCGCTGTTCTCCATCTTCTTCGACTGACCAATTCTACAGCTCATTTGCCAAAGAAAGCCGTGCTCCCTCTGATAAACCCTCCACCTTTTCTGCGTGGCTCTTAGAAGCCTGGGTGCACCTTCCCCTTCAGGGTCTCTTTGATAACCGAAAGGTCTGGAAATCCCCATTCCAAATGAAGGAAAGTGAACTCATCGCATGAATCGCAGGAGACCTCGCAAACACACCCCCTTGCGGGTCTGGGAAGTCACATGAGCTGGGGAAGACCAGGGGCTCCTGGTGGACACGCTGGAGACCCATCAAGTGGTCAGAACCACTGAAGACCTGAGTGCCCAACAGGCTGGGGGACCAGTCCCATCCACAGGCCTCTCCACCTCCTGGCCCACCCGCCCTCAGGTTCGATAGGTAAAAAGCATTCAGTCCACATCAGGGAACCCGGAAGCTTCCCACTGGCCACCACCATGGCCAGTTTCCAAAGCCCGAGTTGAATATATTCTGCCTGAAAAATCCCCTGCTCCCTTTGGCTAGCTAGGCAGTGTGAGAGAGATTAAAACATGATATTTAAAACAAAGACTTTTAATTCTGTTAGCTTCCTTTCTCTGCATTTCCAGGTCAGATTTCCCAAGCTGCTTCCACTCTTTGGGGAACACCTCTCCCTCCATGTAATTCAAGGATTTGCTGTTAACTCCTGTGCTGCAGAGAGAGGCTCCCAAGCCCTCCTGTCTCGGAGGGATGGGGCCGGGACCCCCTAGGGCTGGGGCTTCCCCTGGGGTACGCCGACAGTGGGGGGGGTGTGTGTGGAGGTGTGAACGCTCCCATTTGGCCCCTTGCCCCCAGCCTGTCCTCCCTTCTAGACTGTTCCGTGGTGCACACTGTCTTCCACGTCCGTCTGCTCTCCTTACTCCAGAGCACGTGCTCCCCACTGCTCCCCGCTACCGCCGGCCCGTTCAGGCCCTCAAAGATCTCATTCTACAATGGACACTTCCCACCCTGTTTGCACAAGGAAGCCTTCAAACTCCCATATCAGTGACTCCAACCTAAAAACCCATCCCAACATTAGGCAGCTGCTTCCTACCAAGCCAGGCTTTAAGAAGGTCAGGGATGTTTATATGAGAGCATGACTGGCCATTTGTATGAAAAGAAAGAAAAGGCTGCTCACAGTTCCGTGTTTCTGAGCAGGGAGAGTTCTTTCCATGTGACTTACAAGGAACAGGATGAAGCCACCAGGTCCGCCCGGCCAACGTCTCGGTCGTCACGGGTCTCTGCCCTGAGTGACTCAGGACGCGAGAACAGCGACACCCTGGTAACTCCCAGGCTGACTGGGTCCCAGTTGTCACCAAATGGCCAGGCAGCCCCTAGACCCACCGTCTGCTTCCAACCAGCCCCAGCAACCTGTCCTCTGATGCCTCTCAGTCCTCCTCACACAGCAAGAAGTAAGACGTACCATCAGGGCCCCGTCACAGAAGCTCTGGCTTCCCCAGCCCTCTGCACCCCACCAACAAGCACCCCTGAACCGGCCATCAGCATGGCGGGGCTAGACGCTGGGAGGATGAAGTATTCTACTCCATCCCAGTTATTTGCTGCCTCAGTTTGGATTCTAGAAAAGAAAGCGATACTTGTCTGGACACTTCCGTGACTAGCGCCCCCACCCTCCCATTGTATTTTCCCCAAACTGCCTCCATTTGCAAATGGAGTGCTATTTATTTTCTCTTTCCACATGGACTTCTCCCACCCTAGAAACCTGTGGTCTCCCTGAGCTTCCCAGCCATTGGAGACCAAATTTGCTGGATTCACTGCCCAGCTCTGCCACCTCCTTGCTGTGTGACCAAGGGCAAGGAGCTTAACCTTTCTGAACCTCTGCGTTCTCAACAGTAACAGGAGGACCATGCGCATGAGAACCTCCCTCACTGGTTTGGTAACATATTTGATCCCTTAAACTAGAGCTGGATGGTAGTAAGTTCCCTGTAAGTGATTAGTTCTGCTTTGGCTGTTATCCGTAACTGGCATCCAGATGGCACAGAAAAACTGAGGTTCCACATTCATAATCTAGACTGCAGTAACCATCCCGCACCTGCCAGGGTTTCCTTAGATGTCTGAGAACTGACAAGGGGCGGAGCTGAAATCCAGGGCTGCCTGGAGACAGATCCGAGGCCTCGGATACGGTGCGGGCGACGGGCAGCCCCCGCAGCGCAGCAGGGCCCCGTCCCCAGCGCGGCGCCGCCTCCTGGCTGCCTGCGCGGCCGGCCAGGGCCCCGGCCGGGCGGCGCGGTACTCACGGAGGTGGTGCGCGTAGCGGAGCTGGAAGACGTCGCAGCCGTGCACGTGCCGGTACAGGGTCTTCTCGATGAGGTCCTGCGGCTCGTACCCAGTCAGCTCCGTCACCCTGCGGGAGGACGGCAGTCCCGTGAGGCACGAGCCCGGAGGCTGCCTTCCCTTTCCTCGGACGCCGCGTTTGCCAGCGAATCAGAGGAGAAACGGCTCGCTGGAGTTGTTGACGTTGGAAACCAAGAATGATCTTTTTAACAAGAAGCAAGTCTATGAACCTCAGCCTGGTGCAGGACTCCTCACTTCATGAGCAGGAATGTCCTTCTGAAACCCCTAGTTAGAAGAAGGTTTGGGGGTTTCGCTGGTGGATAGGAATCTGCCTGCCAAATGCAGGACATGGGTTCATTCCCTGGTCCCATGTGGGAAGGTCCCACATGTCTCGGAGTGACTAAGCTTGTGCACTAGAGTCTGAAGCCCACACACCCAGAGCCCATGCTCCACACCAAGATAAGCCCCCACAATGAGAAGCCCACTCACTGCAATTAAGAGTAGCTCCCACTTGCCACAACTAGAGAAAAGCCCCTGCAGCAACAAAGACTCAGAGCAGACAAAAATAAAAATAAATAAAATTATAAAAAGGAGTTATTTTCTGAAATCTGTGGAATATTTAAGAGTTCCAATAATAGTCTTAAGCAAGCAACTGCAGAAGGTGCTAAAAATAAATTTAAAAACTTAAAAAGATTTGGAATGACTTAGAACTGTATCCCTTTTCAAGAGTCAACTTGTTGGGACTTCAATCGTGATCCAGTAGCTAAAGATTCTGCACTCCCAATGCAGGGGGTCTGGGTTCCATCCACTGTCAGGGAACTAGATCCCACATGCCACAACTAAAGATCCCATGTGCCACAACTAAGACCCGGTGCAGCCAAATGGATAAATACATTAATAAACAAATATATATTATGTATTTAAAAAAAAACAGTGAACTTGTTACTAATATCAGGAGAAGCTGCCAAGGTGAGAAAGAGCCCACTCACTGGGGCTTTTGCGAAAGAGAACCTTTTAAAAATTACTGTGAATCTTTTAAAAATCATCGTGGTTAAAATGTGCACAACATAAAATTTACCATTTTAACCATATTAAAGGGTACAATTCACAATAAACATCACCACTTCCACTTCTAGAACTTTTCATCACCCAGAACAGAAACTGTATCCATCAAACAATAATTCCCCACTTTCCCTCCCCAAGTCCCTGGCAAGTCTACTTTCTATCTCTGTGAATTTGTCTACTCTAGAAATTTCATCTAAAAGGAGGGATGTAATATTTGACCTTTCATGTCTGGCTTCTCTTTCACTTAACATGCTTTCACAGTTCATTCATGCCACGGTTCATTCGTGGCATCTACCATAATGTCATTCCTTTTTATGGTTGCATAATATTCTATTTTATGGAGACACTACATTTTGTTTATCCTTTCACCTAATGATGGACACTTGGGTTGATTTCACATCTCGCCTATTGCATGTGCAAACTTGTAACCTTCCCGTCCACACTGGACATTGTTAACTGGCACAGCTGGTCTCAGGGTGATGATGCTATGATGGGGTGATTCCTATAGATGAGATATAGAGAAAAATGGAGACAGTGAAGCCTCTTTATCAATGGAGGACTGTCTTAGAGCCCCCAGAAATAGTAAAACAACATCCCAAACTGTTGTGACTGAAAGAAAGCCTTAAGCTCACTGTGGAAATGGAAACACTGTCCTGGTGCTTACAGGCCCCTATCTTGTTCTTATTTTCATCAAGCCTCAGGCATATTGCTTTCCCACTTTAGCTCTTTGAAGAAGAGTAGCTTCCAGCACCCACGATGGCATCATCACTAGCACATGGATTGCTCCACCCGCAGGTAAGAACTGCATGTGGCCGTGATACTGACTCCCAGGCCTTGGGCAACTGTATTGGGAACCACGTCCCCGGAGCAGGTGGCCGCAACATCTTGGTGACAGCTATTCAAGAACAGATGAAAGAAAGGGACGAGAGGAGATTCCAAGGGCAGTGAGGCCACCATGAGAAGTCAGTGGGGACTGAAGGTGGCAGGGACCGGGGGCCCTGCTGGCCCGGATCTGAAACGCTAGCTGTAAATTAAACGGGGAAATTTGACCTCACTTTCATTCCCTAACCCGCTCCCCTTTCTGTTGAGCTCTGCACGGGCTTCGGGTCATAAATCTCTGTGAGCCTCATATTTCCCTGGAATCATTCACTATTTGGTGTACACATTTCCATGGTGTTCCTCCAGGGCAGGAAGGAGATGGGGCTCAAGGTGGGTAGAAAGGGAATTTGCACAGACCGGAGCCTCTCAGGGCCTGGGGGACCTGTCTGAGGGCCACCTAGAACTTCAGGTCCCACCGGAGTCTGCCTCTGTGTGGCAAGAAAATTGAGATGTCTGGCTCCCCCCCAGAAGAAAACCAGGCATCTCTACCGTGTGGGGATGAAAGAGGCTTCCCAGACCCGTTAGACGTAAAGTTTCAGAACAACGGCCCCGAACGTGTAAATGAATCAGAAACACATGTATTAAGTTTCTCATCAAAGTACACACTGGCTTTAAAAATTAAAGGAAAGGGAAGGCTTTGGCAGCATGCCTTCTTGGTTTTTTCCAACCCTCTAGTGTCTGAAAACCTGTCAGAGGGATTTGCCAAACCCCAAACATCGTCGGGTTCACCCATCCTTAGCAAAAGCACCAGCTACAGTTTCAAAGTGAAATACCACAAAACCCCTATGAACCAAATTTCAGGTTACATCGAGTTCAGTTTTGTCTGGGATTATGCTGGGTGGGGGGTTGGGGGCCGGGCCCCCTCCACCAGGCCCACCACTCTGGCTCTTGTGACTTTGGAGCTGCTGGGCTTCAGGCCAACCCCACTCTGTGGCTTCTGGGGTTTGGATGTAGGAACTGACGTCACCCCACCAGGCCATTCTGCTGCCCACCCAGCACTGGGCCGGCTCCTCTGTCCCCCAGCCCAGTGGCCTTTCAGCTGCTACAACTGCCTGAAGGCCAGAGTGTGAAGAATTTCCCAGCAAGTTTCTGACCATCTTAAGGACCTCCTGGGTGGCTGGGGTTCAGAAGCACCTCAAGACTTTGCTAGAAGCTTCCTTGTACTTGGCAAGAAGAGCTTCCTGGGCTCCTGCAGAGACAGGAAGTCTTCCTCGGCATGACCACCTTGCTTCCAACCCACTCGGGCCTGGCCCTCACAATCCGAAGCGGAGGAAAACCCGCAGAGGAAAATCTGAGGTCCCGTCAGGAGGAAGCTGGCCTCTAAGCTAAGGTCGCATACCCTCTTCTGTAAAGCCTTCCCTTTGTCCCTCATGTGTCAGAGCTGTACGGATGGAACAGTTCCAGAAGACCCGAACTCTCTTCTCTGGGGAAACACCCCTCTTTCTTCTTCTAGAGAATTCACTGAGCTTCAGAGGCTTTCCCCAGGACGAATGAAGAAAAAGTGGGAGATAAAACAAAGAAGAAACCTGTCGTATTCTCCCAAACTTCTACAATAATAAACACGGCCAGTGGATTTTCTTGTAGTACACTTTTTTGGGGGTCTTTTTTTGGCTATGTTTTGCAGCGTGAGGGGATATTAGTTCTCCAACCAGGAATCGAATCCATGCCCCCTGCATTGGGAGAGAGGAATCTTAATCACCGGACTACCGGGGAAGGAAGTCCCTTTTAGAAGTGGTTCCTAAGTCTGGAGAGAGCTGCTCTATCCCCACGGGTCGTGCTGTCTACCCCATGCCTGGCTCCTCCCCTGCAGTGCTCCCATCTTTACTGCAGGAAAACATTCCCGGGCAGTGTCTGGCCCTCCCAAGCAGGGCGGGCATCCTTCCCCCAAGGAGTTATGTTTCCTCTTAGGCTTAGAGTTTCTGGGAGCATGATGACAACTCTGTAAGGCCATGCCTTGCCATATCTCTACCTCTGAATGGTTCTGAGATGCATTTACGATGAACTAAACTAATTAATGTTTTCATCTCCCATCCTTGACCAAGTAAGTTTACTTTTATTCCATGAATGGGTAAAATGATCAAGTTTACATTATGTATATTTTACTGCAATGTTTTAAAAGTGGAAAAAAGACTTCCCTGGTGGTCCAGTGGTTAAGAATCTGCCTGCCAATGCAGGGGACATGGGTTCAATCCATGGTTTGGGAAGATCCCACACGTCTCAGGGTTACTAAGCCCGTGCACTACAACTATTGTAAATTTTAACAAATCTTTTAAGAAAAGAAGTGGAAAAAAATCAATAAATCTTAGCTTCAAGACATACAGGAAAAATGTGCTATACATATGTGTATTTATATATACATACATATATGTGCATGCCTGCTTGCTAAGTCACTTCAGTTGGGTCTGACTCTGCAACCCCGTGGACTGTTGCCTGCCAGGCTCCTCTGTCCACGGGATTCTCCAGACAAGAATACTGGAGTGGGCTGCCATGCCCTCCTCCAGGGATCTTCCTGACCCAGGGATTGAACCCACATCTCTTATGTCTCCTGCATTGGCAGGTGGGTTCTTTACCACTATTACCATATGTGCATATATATATACACACACTAGTGCCATATGTGCATATATATATATATAAACTTTTCTCCAAGAAAGCTCAGCTACACGCAGCATAAGTCAGGAGTGGGGTCTCTGACCACTTTTTTCTGTCTGTACAGCCGAGGTATCTAAAAGGCCAGGAAGCAAGATGACTCACCTTGCAGGTATATCAGGTTTTTTCCTTTTACAAACACCTCCCATCTACCATCTAGTTTCGTCTTTCTTAACAGCCATGTGGGCAGCCAAGCGAATGAAGAAAACAGTAGCCCAGGGAGTGCCCCCCTCAGGCCTCCCCCTGCCAGCGGGCTCCCCCAGGCCAAGCAAAACAACAGGTCAGTGCCTCTGCCCCGTCCATCTTCCCTCCTCTCTCTGAGAAGAGATTCTCAAATTGCTGGGCTTTGCCCAGTGGGAAACAGTCTGGGGCACTACAGCTCCCCAGTCCCTTCTACTGGAGGTGACCTCCCAGCCCAGACCCTGAAAGGTATCTGTGAAGCTGAGACCACAGCTCTAACCCGGCAAAGGCCACCTCTCTGCCTGCTGCCCCAGTTCTGTGGTGACCGTCAGAGCCTGGCTTCCCGCCAGATGGAGCTGGAAGGCCTCCCACAACACACACCACTCAGAATGGAAACTTTCTGTTTGTTTTAACGTCCTACCAACTTGACGGAGATATGAGGCAGAATCCTGACATCATGGGCCTGCAAAAAAGGCTGTTGCCCACAACACATACTTCCAGTTCAAACTCTGGTGAGATAATGAAAATATAAACAAATAAAACAAGTATCTATAAGTGGAGAAGCCAGTCACCCCTGAAAATGAAGGTCGATACTAATTCTTTCAATTCTTGACTTCGATTCACTAAATCTCTTTCTAATACACATTCTGAGTATGGCTTATTGCTTGTTACATTTTGGTTTAATAGTGTAGCGTCCAGGGTCTGGTTTCCACTGTCAGAATCTTCCAGAACGCTGCTGCAGCAGGCGCCCGACTCACCTGGAATCCAGGAATATCAGCTTCAGGTCGAGGCTGGCCCTGAACATGAACATGTTGCTGTGAAGCTTGATCTCAGTGATGGCGCTGGGCGGCAGCGACTGGCCCACAGCCACCAGCCCCACAATCTGGTAGCACGAGTCGTACAGGGACATGTCCAGCATATACTGCCTGATCTTCAAGTAGCCGCTGCAATGGATGACCTGGGAAACAGAGGCAGGGTCAGCCTCATACCCACTCTTCCTGACTCTGGGCCTGCTCGCTTTCTGGAGTGAGCTGGAGTATCCCCAAATCCAGCCTCTACTGAGCCCCGCAGCCAACATGCTGACAGATGCCCAGTTCACTGCTTGGAAGAAATGAAGTCTGCTTCTTTCTTAGGAGACAGTATCGTAATTAAATATAAGGGTTGTCTCATGCAACTGACTATGCTCAGGTAACTCCACAAGAGGGGACTCTAACATACCACAGAATGGATTTAAGCATAATTAACAGGCTTCCCTCGTGGTTCAGACGGTAAAGAATCCACCTGCAATGGAGAAGACTTGGGTTTGACCCGTGGGTTGGGAAGATCTCCTGGAGAAGGAAATGACAACCCACTCCAGTATTCTTGGCTGGAGAAGTCCATGAACAGAGGAGCCTGGCAGACTACAGTCCATGGAGTTGCAGAGTCAGACACGACTGAATGTCTAGCACTTTCACTTTAACTCAGGGCCAAGTTGCAATTAGATGGCACAACAAAGACATTTTGGGAAGCTATAGTTTCTCCAGTAGTCACGTATGGATGTGAAAGTTGGTCTATAAAGAAAGCTGAGTGCCGAAGAATTAATGCTTTTGAACTATGGTGTTGGAGAAGACTCTTGAGTCCCTTGGACTGCAAGGAGATCCAACTAGTCAATCCTAAAGGAACTCAGTCCTGAATATTCATTGGAAGGACTGATGCTGAAGCTCCAACACTTTGACCACCTAATGAGAAGAACTGACTCATTGGAAAATGTGCTGGTGCTGGGAAAGACTGAAGGCAGGAGGAGAAGGGGATGACAGAGGATGAGATGGTTGGATGGCATCACCGACTCAATGAATTTGAGCAAGCTCCGGAAGTTGGTGATAGACAGGGAGGCCTGGCATGCTGCAGTCTATGAGGTCACAAAGAGTAGGACACGACTGAGCAACTGAACTGAACTGAACATTTTGTTCCATAATGTTCACTTCAGTAATGATTCTTAATGCTTATCACCCCGATGAGGATGAACTTGGCAACTGTTAACATTGATATCATTTGACAAACTATATCACTCTAGTAAATGAAGAATTCTTTCAGTGCAAAAAGTCCTCATTTTAAATTTTACCTTAGTTATTTTATATTTTGGAAATACTTATTTATTTGGTTGTGCTGGGTCTTAGTTGTGGCATATGGGTTTAGTTGCCCTGCAGCATGTGACATCTTAGTTTCCTGACCAGGAATCAAACCTGCATCCCCTGCACTGGAAGATGGATTCTAAACTACTGGACCACCAAGGAAGTCCCTATTTACTTTATTTATAATTTAAGGTTTTCTCTACTCATAATAAGCAAAATTAAAAGATGCTTGTTTCTTGGAAGAAAAGCTATGACAAACCTAGACAGTATATTAAGAACCAGAGACACCACTTTGCTGACAAAGGTCCATATAGTCAAAGTTATAGTTTTTCAAGTAGTCATGTACAGATGTGAGAGCTGGATCATAAAGAGTGCCAAAGAATTGATGCTTTAGAACTGTGGTACTAGAGAAGACTCTACAGAGTCCCTTGGACAGCAAGGAGATCAAACCAGTCAATCCTAAAGGAAATCAACACCAAATATTCATTGGAAGGATTGATGCTGAAGCTGAAGTTCCAATACTTTGGGCGCCTGATGCGAAGAGCCGACTCATTGGAAAATATCCTGATGCTGGGAAAGATAGAGGGCAGGAGGAGAAGGGTGTGACAGAGGAAGATTGTTGGATGGCATCACTAACTCAATGGACGTGAGTCTGAGCAAACTCCGGGAGATAATGAAGGAAAGGGAAGCTTGGCGTGCTGCAGTCCACGGGGTTGCAGAGAGTCAGACATGATTGAGCAACTGCACAACAACAATAAGCAAAAATTCAGAGTGGCTATATAGAAACCTTTCTACTAACAACTGTTCCAGCCAAGAACCGTATAGAAGAAAGTGTTTATAGAGTTGCAGATGTCAAACAGAAACAAGTGCACAGCTTTAAACCTCAATATTGGAAGCATTTACATAAGTTACAGTCAGTAAAATCTCGAAAGGCTCAAGATCATCCTAACAGTAGTGATGAGCAGCTAAAAAATATTCTCTTTTCAAAAACTTTCCTCCAGTATTCCCAAATGCACTCAGTCTTTGGAGCTGGAACAAACATTACCCATGGAACCTATTCTCCCATTTTACTGATGAGGAAATTGAGAACAAGGTGTGTGATGGGTTTTACTTAAGATCAGCCAGTCGGATGGTAATAAGTGTCAGAAACAACACAGGGCCCAAGTCTCCAGAAGTATAGCTTCTGTGTGTAGGGCAGTGCTGGAGGCTCCCATCTCTGAGGCTGAGGGTCTGGGACAGCAAATAAGAAACTCATTGCCCAGACTATGAAATAAGAGTAAGGTGAAGGTCAAAGGGAGAAGCTAGGAGTGAGGCTCAAAGGAGTGGGCTGAGGAGAGGCTGGGGAAAAACAGACCGTGGGATGGGGAGGAGGAGGGGAGAAGGGTATTCCAGAAAGAGGGGACAAAAGCACAAAACCATTCCCTCTCTTTTCACTTCACCCCTCCCTCCTTTTATACAAATTCTCCTGCAAAAAGGCTCCTTTCTGAAAGGATAGTTGGGGAGTTTGGGATGGACATGTACACACTGCCATATTTAAAATGGATAATCAATAAGGTCCTACTTTATAGCACGAGGAACTCTGCTCAATGTTATGTGGTAGCCTGGATGGGAGGGGAGTCTGGGGGAGAAGGGACACATGTATATGAATGGCAGAGTCACTTCTCTGGTTCACCTGAAACTATCGTAACATTGTTAATTGGCTACACCCCAATACAAAATGAAAAGCCTGAAAAAATAAAAAGGCTCCTGTCAACCTTGCGCTCCAGAGTGATGGGCTTAGGATCCTTTTCTCTGCGGCAGGATAAAGTCTAGGTGCGGCTACTCTAGAGGGACTGCCCTGTGTGCAGAGTAGAACCTGCAGGTGCCAAAGTCAAATTCTACCCTTAGCCCCACGTATTCCTGGTCTCAAACAACCCAATCCAGCCTGCCTGGGATGTCCTCGTAAGACGCCAGCTTTCACATTTGCTATGAGTGGTGTCCCTAGAAAGTTCTACATTAGGCGGTATAGAACGCTTGGGTCCCCACACCTTCCTGTCTGCAGATATTCCTGAATGTGAAGCGAAACGCAGAGCACAGTGAAGACCCGCGGCCGCCTCCTTCCCTCCTGTGAGCCCCGAGGCTGGGTACCTTGTATCCACTGCACGTCAGGCCAGCGTTTCTTTTCGCCAAGACACACTTCATTCGAAGGAAGAATGACCTCTCGATCTCATACTCTGAAAGCAGGCAGGAAGTTAGATTGGCAAACTGTCCCACAATGCTTTCCCTGACTTCATCCCTAGGCTCTCAATAAATCCTCAGGGCCGTATCCAGCAGCTAGAGTCCTCAGCCCAGGACCGCTCAGGCCCCCAGCCAGAGCGCTTTTGCTGGTGACCAGGTCCTGGGTGGTGGCTCAGACGGTAAAGAATCCACCTGCAATGCGAGAGAACCAGGTTCGATCCCTGGGTTGGGAAGATCCCTTGGAGAAGGATCCTGAAGAGAATTTCATGAACAGAGGAACCTGGCGGGCTACACAGTCCATGGGGTCGCAAACAGTCGGACACGACTGAGGTGACTAAACAACAACCTGAGGAAACACCCTCCCCCTTACTGAGCGGACATCAGCTCTCTGGGCACGGACGGCAGAGCGTCCTCGCCCCGGGTGAGAGCGAGGTCATTCCACTCTAAATAAACAGCCATTTGGTGGTGGTTAATAAATTAATTTTTAAAGAAAGGTTACCACGGGGAATGGAAGGCCTTGTGCCCCTCCCGGTCGCCTCAGAGGCCCAGACTCCCCCAGTGGGCGGGGCTTTCACGTTTACCCATAATTCCCCCGCCCAGGCTGGGGCCGGGGAGCTTCCCTTTAACATGGCAGTCAGTCTGTCACGTTTCCACGCTCAGGTCTAAATACCATCACCCCCAGTAATTATACAGTTTTGGGGAGAGCCCCATGTCTCACACAATTACCATAAAACAATGAAGCCAGTTCAGACACAAAAAAACAACTCTGAAGATGAGAAATCGGGGAGAAGACTAACCGCTTGTGAAACTCAAAGCTTGAACACTTGGCTGGCTGTGGAAATGAGTCCCACACAGACCCCACCTCTCCCAGACCCGCTCCTCCTGTGTTGTTGGCTCACCTCAGACGTGAACCCCATGGGGAAACTGGATGTGTCTCGCCATAATCCCAACTCTCATTTACTGTCATTGTCCAAACACTTTTTAAAAGCATGGAAGGTAAAATGAAACCAGAGCTAATGGCAGAAAGCCCACTTCCTTGCAATCAACACACTGTAATTTTTAAAACAATAACACATCCAATATCTTGTAAAAGCCTGTAGTGAAAAAGAATCTGACAAAGAATATATATAAAACCCAATCACTTTGCTGTCACCTGAAACTAACACAACATTGTGAGCCAGCTATACTTAAATTAAAACAAACAAACATAACATATCGTTCTGAGAGATTCTCTTAAGATTCCATCGGTCATTGTCCAACTTTAAACAACCCCACAGTGAAAGCACTAGAGTCAGGAGCAATGTGCTCTTCTAGCTCTCATTTTGTTAGAAATTACTTCTTTAGAGTCGTATTCCTGTTCATTTATGCAGCCAGACCATCTCCAAGGACTTAAGCACCAGAGGTCACAGCTACAATTAAGCCCCCATCTCATCTCAGAAACCAGCTTACCAGGGTCCATCCTTGGTAGACTCATGGTGACTATTTCTGGGGCTAAAACAGGAGGGCCGCAGAGCTGGATCTGCAAGCGGTTTTAAAACTGAGAATGCTAGTCTGTGTTCTCTCCTCCTAGCCTTAGAAGGACCCATCCCAGGAGGAAGCAGTAAGAATGGAACCCATTTCTTCCCCCGGCTGTGGCTGGCTACCCCATTCTCATCACATTTGACACCATTTCTTTGGCATTTTATCTCACTGCAGAATTTTGGCTGAGTTGGAATTCCATAGCCCAAAGCAGACAAGTGGCATATTGGTCAGCATACTGGCTGGTCTCATTGGGCCATGGGAGGGAATTACAAGGTCAGGGCCCTTGGATTACATCTTTCTGTGTCTTCCTAGCATGCATAGCAGTTGTAAATTAAGGAGTCGTTTGTGTGAAGACTGGTTTCACATTGTCCACGGTACAGCCACACCACATCTATTCTAAGGGTGCTTACCACAGTGGGCTATAACTGTGTTACTTTAGTAACACATAAATAACAGATCCTGCAACAGACTCAACTCCTGAAATTTCAAAGCACTGGTGAGCTTAACCGATGTGTTTAAATACCTGCAACAACTATAACGTGAAATGAAAATACCTGTGATTTCTGATGTAGTCAGAGCCACAGGTACGAGTGATAGTACAGTCTACAGGCAAAGGAAACACTAGATCTCAACTAAAGAGGGAATAAAGATGTAATTATCTCATGCAATTTCATGGTCTCCCTGAGTTTTATCCTCGGACCCTGTGGTTAAGAAGCCCAGATCTAGACCTGGGTCGTTGGCATTCTAAACCAGGAGCACCTGAGGAGGGAAGGTTTGGACCCCTTTTCTCCGTCTCCTACCCTGCACGTCTCACAGCCTCCAGCACATGAAAGGGGATCAGCAGTACTGCTTTAAAGGACAGAGGCATAAAAGCAAACTCCTACTCAGGGGACACTATGTGTTTGCTGGAGGGACCCCGGATGGGCAGTGTGGGAAACAAAGCCCGTAGGTCACAACAAAGAGCATCGTCTGGCATTCATTCTGGTTTCTTTTTGTCTGGAGGAAATACCTTGGAGCAAGTGATGGTGAAGAGGCTGGTGGGCTGCCAGGACAGCCGTCATCTCATCATGGTCCGAAGGATGGATATACTCATAGATGCTGTTGCCTGTGAGCTCCACCTGCCATGGAAAGGAAGGGGGGAAGAGTCAGGAATCTTCTCTAGGACTCTGGGGAGGTGGGGAGGGAGGAGGTGAAGTTGTATCACAGGTGTGCACCCTCCAGGGAGAAATAGGACCTTGATCTCAGCTTACAACCCACGCCCTCCCCACCCCAACCCCCTGACAGAAACGTTTGCCTTTTCTCAGTCAGCGCTCAACTGTCTCCCAACAAGGCCAGGAGAGTCCTGAGCAGGAGGAAGTGGAGTGAAGGATGGAAAAGGTGCGCCATGGATTGGGGGACCCTCCTGGTCTGGGCAGTATCCTTCACATGGGAAGTGCCTTAAATCAGACTGGAGGGGCTTCCCTGGTGGTTAAGAACCTGTTTGCCAATGCAGGGGACACAGGTTTGATCCCTGGTCTGGGAAGATCCTGCATGCCTCAGAGCAATTAAGCCCACGACTATTGAGCGGGTGCTCTAGAGCCTGTTCTCCACAGCAAGAGAAGCTACTGCAGCAAGAAGCCTGCACACAGCAATGGAGACCCAGCATGGCCAGAAATAAATCAATCAATCTTGAAAAAAAAGAAAAATCAGACCAGAGCCAGGCCCATCCTTGACCTGCTGCCCTCGGGGATGGGTGGCCAGGAGACGTCCAGAGCAGACAGCTCCTGCCCTCAGGGGCTGAGAGGGGAAACTTGGGGGCTCCCTTTGATTAAGGACAACTGCCCCCAACAAGGTCCTTCCCCTGGGACCACCGCTAGGCCTCTTTCATATGGCCAGAAATGTGTCTGGTCCAGGGTCACTGTGTTAACCCCATGGCTCCCACTTGTGGGTGTGGCTGGCTGGCTGAGTGACCTCTGGGAGGGTGTGGACCACTCCAGTGAGCCATGTGATCTGAGGGCTTCTCCCCTGATATTCACACACCACCTACTTCCAGACACACCCCACGGAGGAGCCCACACAGGCCTGGAGACCATGTCCCTGCTGGATCAGACTCAGCTTTGCATTTAGGCATGGGCCTCCCCAGGAAAGTATCATAGTCACCATCTTTCCACAGACGTCCCTGGAGATGACTCAGAGGTCCTAACCTTGAGAACTTCTGGATTGTTCTCCCAAACACAAATGTCACGATAGGGGATGACAGAGATCCTCAGGACCTGGGCCCTCTCCCCTATCAGAAGATGGGCCATAGGATAGAATGTTCCAGAAGCTAGCACCAACAGTGCAGCCTTCCAAGCAGTGGTGGTGGATCCTCTTTCAGAGATCGACAGTGCAGGCCAGGTTAGCGAATCAATACACCTGGTATCGGTCAGGGCCCCTGGGGCGGTGGTGGTACTTCTACTGCAGCCAGTGCGGGAAGATGCTGAGGTGAGCAACTGCCTCTGGGTGGCACAGAACCTTGGGTGGGTCCGAGGAAGCTTCTCAGCCCTGCCCCCAGGGGAGAGGGCGCCATCCGACAGCAAAGGCAGGCTTGTCCCAACCACCCCTTCGTGGCTGTTCTTAATCAGAGCAGAGACCTTCTGAAGAGGGGGAGCCCCGACAGTGCCCCCTCGGGCAGCCCCAGCAAGTGGTTTAATGGAGGTACTCCTGGGAGTTACCGTTCCAAATCAGGGTCAAGGCCATCATGACTAGGGGGCCACGGAGAGGTGAAGGGGCTCATCCCACTCTTCCCACCCACTTTCTCCAATGTGTTGAGATGTTTAAGAGTTGTCTTTTTATTCAGAACAAATTATGTTTCAGGCCCGCTAAGTAATCTTGGTCCCTAAAAAAATGGTTTTCTCAGTTCTATTTTCTGCATCATTCATGGAATGTTTTCCCCAGTATTATACACAGCAATGGAGAGAATCTGCTTACAGAAACCCTCCCTCTCCACCTCCCCAACCTGGCACTTTCCTGATGACCCAAAAGGATATTCGCCTATGTTACCCTGTCAGGGGCTTCCTGGTGGTCCAGTGGCTAAGACCCCGAACTCCCAGTGCAGGGGGACTGGATCCGATTTCCTGATGGGGAGCTAGATGCCACATGCTTCAGCTAAAGATCCTGCATGCCGCAACTAAGACCCAGCGCAGCCACAGATATTAAAAAAAGACTAGAACCTACTCTGCGCCAAGTTTTATTTTAAAAAGTTAGTACATGATTTCATTAAAAATAAAAGAGTAAAAAATGAAAAAGCCTTCTTTTAAGTCAGTCCCGTTAATCTTTAAAAAAGTTTAAACAACCTAGCAACACTCAAGTCAGCCGTTTCCTGAGGGCAGCCCTAGAGATCCTGTCAGGTGGAGAAAAATGGAGGCTAATCAATAAGAAAACTATTTTTTTTCTTTAACGGATTCACAATTCCAGTGCCTTATTTTTAAAAATGAAAAAATAAATAGAATGTGTGTGTGTGTTAGCCTATCATTTCTCCCTTAACCTGGGTTTTTAGAGAAAAATGACAACTCTGGTTTGCTCAGAGTTTGTTTTTAGAAAAAAGTAACTGATGCCTTGGTAGAGAAACATCTTCATACATTTGTAAAAAGACTTGCATCTGGGCTCATAGGGATTTGATTTGTGTTTTAATTCCCGAAGTAGCTTCATCTGTTCCCAAAGAGCCTGTTCTCATCACATGCCTTTAGAGAATGAGAAGAGTGCAGTCCGTGAATGAAAAACCTTGGTTTTCTGTACACTCAGGTTCGTGATAAACCTCTAAGGCTGTCTAGGAAGTAAAACAGTCTTCAAATCACGGAAATGTTTTTAAAGAACAAATTTGGGAATGATAAAACAGTGCTGACCTTGACTCAAAATTATGGTTGACACGGTGTTTCCTGTATTGAGATATCTATTCGTGCTTTTGAATGTTGAAAGAAATGTGACTACCTCACCAGAAAAAAGAAAACAAAATTATGGTTGTCTTTATAAAACTCCCAGCTCTCATACATCAACCTTATTAAAACAGACCCTCAATGTGATATTTTAGTATTTGTAAAACCCAGCTAACTACAAAATGAATTGCTTTCCTACTAAGAGCTTTTTTATGTTTTGCTGAATAGCTTTTCTTCCTGCCAAGAGAACTACATATGATAAATACAGCACTAAATGGATATATTCTGGGGTTGGAGGGGAAACTCACCCAGTACTCTGGAAATACACATTACTCTGCTTTGGGTGTTTTGCTGACTATGGTAAATTAAGCATTTTAAAATAAAATGGTTTGGGTTTCAGAGTTCAAGTTATGTCAACAAACATTAAACGCTGTTCTTTCTCTTTATTTCAAAAGTGAAAGGATTAAGTCTTATGGCTCCCAACAACACCATGGTTATTTTTACAGTTGTGCTTCCGGCCACACTCTCAAATACTACATTTTCCTTTATGTAGCTCATGAACAGCTATTTCATATGTATCTATATTATGTGAGAATGCATGTTAGTTACCTAGATGTTATATACCATATGCAACTTTGGTAAGGAAATTTAAACCACAAGGATACTTTAAAATGTTTGAAGAAATACACAGCAGGTATGCAAGGCTTTTTTCCTGCTTCAAATGTAAGTTAATTAATCAAAAAGCCGTGAAACTAAATCATTTAATAAACTTGGCGGATAAAGAGTGCTTCCTCAACTCTGCCTTTTCCAAGCAGATGTAAGTTTGTCTTCACGAATTATTTTGGATTATGAGTGTGGCATATACCAAACAGAATTTACAAGTCGAAGCCTGACTTTTTCCCCCCAACACTTGAATTATGGGCTGAGGAGACCGTTTGAATTTTGGGGTTCTCTCTGTCATTTTTTTGGTACCAAAGTCTGACAGCAAGGATGGCCACATTTACTAATTCCAAAGCAAAAATAAATGAATAAACTCTGCCAAATGAAGTAGACTCATTCCAGTATGTGCTTTTAAAAAAGTTCAATGAAAGGCTTTGAACTGGGATGGGTTTATTAACACATAATCATTTTTATACTCTCAGATAATTCAGAGTTATTTAGATAGTGTAGATTAAAAAAAAACCACTTTGCTACAAATTATCACACAATTACGGCAAACCTAGGAGTTTATGTTTCCTAGAAGCTGCTAACATAGACTTTAACCCCCGAATTAAGGTGAAAGATGTCATTACTTAAAGAGAGATTATTATTGAGAATAACTGAAACTTCTGGGAACACAGAGGTCGTAGTTTAAATATAAGCTATTATCACCCTTATTCATCAGAAAACCTTTTTAAAAGGTTACTCTTGACTAGTGGGTAAAATTTTATCAACACTTTTATCTCTGGTGATTTAAAAAATCTTGAGGCCTATTTTAAGTTTTCATGTTTGATATACTTGTCTGACTTGTTACTACTAATAAAACAATCCAAAAGGTGCAAACATTTTTTTAAAGAGAAGTTGGGTGTTTGACATTCTTTTCAATACCTTATTTTACTATTTAAGAAGACAGAAAAAAACACACTTTGTGATTTGGCCTAGATTTCCTTCTGCAGAGTTAATCGTGAACAGGAGGTAGATTTGAGGGGAAAGTTTGTTGTTGCTTATTTAAACAGTTCACCATGAAACACTCCCCAGACGTCGCCAGCAAAGTGTTTTTGTAGCTGGAGGCTGACACTGGGATAGTCCCGCCAGCAGACCAGAAAAAAATCAGCCAGTCTCAGAGAAGGTCAGTTTGACTTACTTGAAATGGACACTTCTCTGGGCAACATACAGACAAAAGGCATCTCTACAGTTTTCTTGGAAAATGGTAGTATGTAACTCCCTCCCCTTTCAAAATTATGATATACAAACTTTTACATCTGCATTATGACTGAGAGGAAATATAGTTTAAATTGTGATTCTGATTAGATTTCCATTTGTGGCGTTTATCATGAACACGAGCTGTATTTTGTTACCTAGCCAATATTTTGGTCATTTTTAATTATCGTGTTAAAAAACAATCATTTTTATTTCCCACGTGAAAAGAGAAAAATGACAGAGGGATATAGGATGCCAGACAGAACAGCCTGATGGAATGAACTGGAATGCCCTGTGGTATGTACATAGAGCCTTATGATGTGTCAGGACACTTCCCATGACTAAGTATCCCTAATATGTGCCCACCAAAGGATGCTAATTGAAGTGCAGTTCTAGCTGTGATACCGCCTGGCTTCTGTGTAGCTCCCTATAGTTTATAAATCATACAAGGCGGGCCTTTGGTATGATTTTCACCATGATCCTAAAGAAGTGGTACAGTAGGCGTTACTTTCTTATTTAAGTTGTGGTTCAGAGAGGTCAACTGCCAACCCTTGTCAGACAAAGAAAACCATATAACTAAACGCATTTCCTTTTTGCTTTGGCTGCTAGGGAGCTCAGATCTGAATTTAATATTCAGTAAAAATGACTCTACCCACTTTAAAGTATATTTGGCCAGTCATTTTTAAAGTATGTGAAATGGGTGGGGGTGGGAGGGAGGTTCAAGAGGGAGGTGACGTGTATACTTATTGCTGATTCACGTTATACGGCAAAAATCAGCAAAATACTGTAAAGTAATTATTCTCCAATTAAAAATAAAATTTTAAAAAAGTATGTGAAATGTTTTGTCTTGTTTGTGACATTATTATAAGGCTAATCAAAAGTTATTATAAGTTACATTTAAAGTGTTAAGAAATCTGATCACGGGCACTCAGCCGCAGATCAAGTCAGGAGTAGAAGCCAGGCTGGGTCCAACTAAACGGTCTTAAATAATTCTAACCATTCAGAGATTAATAAGGTGCAAATTCGGAGAATAACAACCCTGGAAAAGATAAAAAGAGAAAACTTCGTATTTCCAATAGTGTTTCCCATTCTACAAGTACACTAATCCCATGAGTCACATAGGTGAAAGAGTCAAACCTTATTAAATCTCATCTGGGAGGCCTGGTATCATAAAAGAAGAGAAGAGGAAGAAAACAGAAAATACTGAACAATTTTAATATGTGATTCATTTTAGAAGACTCTGCAGAAGAAATACACAGGCACAGAAACCCCCTTGGACCTGGGTAAGGATGTCCATCCACTGGGAAAGAAGGCTGTAAACAAATGGAAAGTTTAAGAAACATCTTGGCAGAAGAAAAAAAAAAAGAATACAACACCAGATGCAGGTTTCCAAATTGGTAATTCTGTTTTTCAATGAGAAAACTCAAGCCACTTTAATTGGCATGTTTTACTTTGGCTTAACTACAGGAGGAGAGTGGTGCAACACAGATTATTCATACGCCTCCTGGGAGCCCATTTCCTGTATCTAATTAATTCTAGTGTGTCTTCAGTTGTAATGAAAAAAAGCACTCCGATCACTCACAATGTAAAGAAACATTTAGCCCCTACATGTATTAAACAGTGTGACTCTTAGAACCATGATCCAGGCTTGTTAAATCAGAAATGTGGATGGGCAACCATCAGTAGACTCCCCCGCCATCCAGACTCTCCTCTAGGGAATGACCTCCTTTTTAGAAGATGGTTCCAGAAAAATAGGTAATATTCAAATGTTCTAAAGAAACCAGGACTTGGCTGTGCAAAAAATAGTAGTAAACTGAGTTTTATGAGTTTCTATCACAAGCATATAAAATGCTTTACTGAAACGACCACTGAGCTGGAAAAACTCAGGAAAAATTACCCTGAATTCCACGTGAACACTCATAAATCTACCCCCCCTTTTCTCTCTCCCCAAAGCACATTCTGCATAAAATCCATGTTCTACATCAGCTTGCCTCTCTCTTTCATAGCAACTCACAATACCACATGTAGACCATCGAGCGTGCACTGAAAAATCTCCCTTTGTGAAGTTCTTGTTAGGGGCAGAGAGCTTTATAGTATGAGCAGAGTCCAGGCTAACAGACAAAGCTGACTGTTGCAAAGATATTACTAGGCATTAGCCCCAAAGGAAAAAGAAAGTGGAAAAGTGAAACGTAACACGGAGAAGAAAAACCTAGCCTGTCGGCGGAAAAAAAAAAAAAGAAAACGATTTTGCAATTTTGGATTAGGTTCATACACAAAAGCAGACTCTTGGACAGACTCATTTTCAAGTTGGGTAAGGCTGTCAAGATCCGCCAACGCTTAATTTATTATTTTAATTGTACATAAAATTAGATGATACCCACCTGGGACAAGCCTAAATGTACAGAAGCTGTTTCCGAAATATACATGATTTTGCCATCAGATGCTACCACAAAAACAAATCCATCCAAAGTCTGTAAAAGAAAAAGCAGCAGGGTAAGAGATGATAAATGTTAGAGTTAAAGCTGGTCATCATACGGTCAGTGGGATGGAGCAATGTATAAAATATTATAATCAACGTATATGGTTAAATGTAAAAATGGAGCCCTGGAGCCGTGAGATAGGTTTCGTTCCCCGGCCAGGCTCTCAAATACTTTAAAAGGACTTTAAATACAGTCTTACATCTACATCACAAAAATCATGCAAAACATTTGAGAATTCCTATCAAGCTCAGTTTAAACGTAGTAGCTTTATTGTTGGGGTTATTTTAGCACTTAGCACAAATCCGGAGTTCTATGGTACTTAGGGGAAAATCTACCACTGTATAGACCATTTTATGTCATAATTGGCAGCCGTTTAAACCACTAGAACATACGCTTTATTTGCCACAATTTTCTAGTTATCCCTAAGTACCATTTGAATAATAAATTCTGAACACTCCCACTCCCTAGAAAATGAAAAAAAAATACCCAGTTATTTTTAACAGACTATGTCTACAGAATTAATTATTCAGAATTTGCAAGAGATCAAACGACCTTTGCAAAATTCAGGGAGAAGAAGGATCAATTTCTGAACAATTAAAACCACCCAAAGGATATTATGATTTTTGCCAAAGCTGGCTAGCCCTCAAAAAAATAAAGTAAAATTATAAGACATAATTAAGTTAAATGAAAGGTAATGATTGCATTTATGTGTGGCAAGGATAAAGGGACTAAATTATTTTTGAAAAAGGAAACTGCATTTTATTTACCATTCATATTTTAGATCCAGAACCAAAGAAAAGCAATAAAGTTGGTGAAAGACCCATACAACCCACAACGTCGCCCCCATAAAAAATATTCCAAATTAATTTCTGGCCACAAATTCTATTTTTACAGCATGTAATTGAAACCAGATTACCTTTGGTTTTTCTAAATCCACCCCCTCTTTGGAGGGGGGGGTGCCTAAAAAAGAATGTAGAAGTGAAACTTGAAAGATATCCTTCCATTCTGCTGTCTCAAATACAGTTTTGCTGCAAAAACTTCTCTGCTATCATTAGCTTTCCTTGTGTTGAGGTTGAAATCAACACCTTGATCAGGAGCCCGACTTTCATGTTTCTAATTCAGCTACGAAATATTTTACCAACTAAACTCCTTTTCAAACATATGAACTAGCGATTTCTAAAGTTATCACCATGTTGGCCCATTTTGCATGCTTAATTCCAAAATCATGAAAGAAATACATGAAATGAAATAATAGCGGCTGTATGAGGAAAAGAGAAAAAGTTGTATCATAATTAAATTCTGAACGCTGCCAGTAGTAGCTTAAAAAATAATACTCTTAATGGAAAATGTTGGTTCTGCCTTCAGAGCTGCAAATGACCTAATGCGCTTGCATGTATATTAACTGCAAAGCCGCCCATCCACAGACACTCCGGAATTAAATAAAAGTACAGTGGAGAGACTTGGGGGCGTTGACTTTGCCGCCAGGTTTTCAGTGGCGCTCCTTAGCACTGAGTTGTCCGTGATATTAGTGTCACTTGTAATATGAAGGCGCATCAAGCATGCAAAATACCGCGCGCGGCGCTGGACGTGAGCTTGGGGGCAGCGCGCGGGGCGCGGGAAGGGCTCCAACAGCGCCATTCCCGGGCCGGCTCGCGCACCGCTCGCGCTGCTGGAAAAGCCTCGGGTTTCAAACATATCCCCGGAGCTTCTCTTCCCCAGCGCGCGCATTTAAAAAAAAAAAACAAAACACACACACACACACACACAAACTCGGGCATCTGGGGGCAAAAGAGTTTTGAACAGATCTGCTTTTTCGAAGCGCGGACCCAAGTCCCCGAGTTTCGAAGCCAACTTTTTTTTTTTAAAGAAAACACGAAATAGAAGGAGGAAATGCAAAATAGCTCTCGGTAGGCATTTTTCTGTGGCAGAGACAAATGAAGGGAGGGGGGAATGAATTGGGTCGTTGATGAGGCTCTGTAAAGGGCATTTGAAAGACTCCGAGACACCGGGACTTGCTGTCCCCACCTAGCGCCAGCCCCGTACTTGGAAGTGGCCGGTCGTGCGCCCGTTCACTCGGCCCCGGCCCCAGACACCGCGTCGGGGGGTGGGGGGGGGGAACCCGAGGTCAGGGCGGTTTAACAGCCCCGGGCTGAACGGCTGCGGGCTGGGGGCGCTAAGCGGCGGACCACAGACCAAGCCAGGGCTTCCTCGGTGAGCCAGGAGCGCGCACCATGTCCTGACCTGCCCCCACTTAAGAGCTGGACCACTCCGGTGGACCAAGGCTCCGCCCCGCGTGCTGTGGCTGTGACCTCAGGCGTGCGGCTTAACCTTTCTGTGCCTCGACTTCTTCCTCTGAAAAAAATGCAGTTAAAAATAGAACACACTTCTAAGCGAAGAGATGATATAGTAGATTTAGAATAGAATCTGGCCAGCACTGAACCGGCCGTCCACCTCAACTGCTGAGATTCAGTTATGGATGCTGTCTCGACTGCAACTTCTCCAAACACACACCCAAGCATCAAGCACTTGATTGCTCCCTCTCTGGCTTGGAGTGTCCTTGGGCCTTCCTTCTCTCGCTCCAGCGCCTGGCACGGTGTCAGGCACAGAGCAAGCGCTCTGAAACAGTGTGCTGAGGAAAGTCAGATTGGAGAGGACTTCGCCCTTCCCCTAGGTCTCAAGGGCTAGAGTCCTGGGGGCAGGAGTTGAAAGGAGGCTAGGTGTGGGGTTCGTGGGGGGGCTGACCGAGGTTGTACTGGTTGTGCAGAATCCACATGGGGCCCCAGCACCCTCCCCTCAAGAGGAGGAGTTGTGGGGAGTCTGTTGGCCCGAAGTCTGATCGCTGTTGACCTTTGCAGCCTGGGGGTTGGTCAGTGGACCCTCCAGAGGCTCCGTGAGAAGGGGCCTCCCCTGAAGACTGGCGTGGCAGATCGGAAGGGGGGCCCCATGGGGCACAGGCCGGGGCCTTGGGTGGCACAGCGCTCCTCCTCCCCTGCCCCTCGCATGGCTGGCACAGCGCTCCTCCTCCCCTGCCCCTCGCATGGCGACCCCACTACCTGCAGCAGGTGTGATCCCAGCTCCTTGGCGACAGTGTCCAGGGGCCCCGCGCGGCTGGGCTGTCCCCACGCGTCTCCTAAACCTGGACGGGAACCAAAGCGAACCGGTGAACGGCAGCACCCAGCAAGCGACCTCCGCCCCCACGGCCCGCCCGCATCACCCCTTCCTCGGCCTTCGATCAAAATTTAAAAAAAGGCAGAGGAGAAATTCCCATGGAGGCCTCCAGGTCCAAGGCCGCCTGCCCCGTAGGTAGCTCCTCTGGGTCGCCCGTGGGCTCACCGCTCTGAAATTGCCATTTCATTTGACATGCCACAAGGTAATCTAATCTGCTTTGAAATCGGCCATCCTCATATCCAAACGGGAATACGGATTAGACCAGTAAACATTCCCCCCAAAGGTACCTCCTCTCTCCCTACCCTGCGAAGCTGGCACCTATGTATTTTCTCAAAGACAGAGTGGCCCAAACTTAAGAGTCCTGGCCATCTTAGAGGCAGCTTTTCTGGCTTTTTTAAAAAAACCTTTTTCAACCTCCTAGAATCCTCCCAACTCCCTGACTTTTCAGCACCCTCCTCATGCACCCCAGAAGCACCGACCTTCTTCCAATTCAGGAGCCCCAACCTGGAAAGGGGTTCCCTGGGGGTTTCCCCAAGGTGAACTCCTAACTTAGCAACAGCTGGCAGGGGGATGGACCGTGGGCTGGGAGAGCAGTGTATATACTAGATGGTAACTGGGAAGTGTTTGTTGTCACACAATCGGGGTCTTGCAGCCCCTCCGCTTCTTAACCGTCCCCCAAAGCCTCTGGTGGCTCCCCACCCACCTCCAGGAAGGCCACTGGTGTTGCAGAAAGTGCACCAGGGGAAAGGTAGCCCTGCTCAGCAGAATATCCCTCTCAAGTGCCCTCGGCTCAGCCGCTGTGACCCTGGGGGCGCCCCCCAGAGACCCTGGAGACCCTCTACCGGCCAATTCTACTAAGCAACTAAGAAAGGGGTGGCCTTTATGTCTCCCTAGAGGTTTATCCTGGTCTCCCCATAAGGAATTGGCTAATTTCCACATAGCCTGATTTCCCAAAAACCATCACAACTCCCACCCCACTCCCCAGACCCCACCTCAGAATGGAATGGAGGCGTCTCCTTAACCTCAGGAAACCGCCGTTCACCGCACCCCCAAGGATGACCACAGTACAGGGCCATTGGAAGGTCCTTCCTCCCCAATACCCGAGAGCCGGCTGGTGCTGGCATTTACTCCAGTTAACCAGAAATGGAAAGAACCAACATTTAAAGTCCTCGGGGGTGTGAATGAAGAAAAAGTGTAATAAGGGTCCAGGAATTCTGATGTCTGTCAGTGGACAAAAGCAGCTGCTTAACTCTCCTTCAGCTACTCCTGGCCCCGTCCCCTGGTCCGGGCCAGGCCACCTTTGCCTGGCTCTCTCTGGACAGCGGGCATAGCCCCTGGCCCTCACTCCTCATAAGGCCTGGGTCTGAGAGACCTGGGGAAATCGGCATCTTTGGGAATGACCTCCCCCCGACACCAGACTCTCCGGGTCTCCCCAAAGCCTTCCAGCCTCACACCAAAGTGCACGGGCTACACAGGCCAACTTTCTGTGTAATTCAAATAGCTGGATACATCAAGAGAGCCTGTCCTCTTATTATAAGATCCGACAGGACGGTTCCTCCACGCCTCCGCTCTGCCAGCGGAGATTTGGACCTGGAGTGACGGGGGTGGGTGGTGGGAGGCTCTTCTCGAACTCCCCTGCCCCCAGGCCACCTCACAGGGTGATGGGGCTGCCAGCTCTTCCATTAGAAACCGCTGTGCGTGAGGCCTTTTCCCTGGGCCCATAAAAATCTACTTTGGGCTGGAGGCAGAGACTAAAGAGGGTAAGGTTTGTAACCAAAAAAAAAAACCCCACAAAAACCATCTTGTTACCATAAAGCCATATATACTCCTGAAAAAGTGAGGTGCTGGATACACGGTCCTTATTTGGACCTGACAAAAAGCTTCGTTTGTTAGAAAAATGAGGGAAGAGTGTAAGAAAAAGCTGGGCTGAGCTCCTCCAGGATTATGTCGTTGGCGGGTCTGTATTGCCTGATTCTGGGAAACCCCTGCACCATACCAATGACTGGAGCAAATGGGGTTCCCAACCTGGCCTGTGGTTTCCAGCCAGGGTTTGGGGTCCTGCGTGCCCTACATGTGTCAGCAGCGGGGTGCAGTGTCTGATGCTGGGAATCGAGATGGGCTAGGCCATTTGGGGGGGTCAGCCACGAGGTCACAGGGAAAGGGAGACAGGTATCCCCTTTCTCCCCCTGCCTCCAAGGGTTTGTGGGTGACCTTGTACACTCAGCGGGCTATTTGGGTTCAGCCCTGCCAGGCCCAGCCTGCCAGTGTTAGTCATTAGTCGCTCAGTCGTGTCTCTTTGTGACCCCATGGACTGCAGCCCGCCAGGCTTCTCTGTCCCTGGGATTTCCCAGGCAAGAATACTAAAGTGGGTTGCTATTTCCTTCTCCGGGGATCTTCCCGATCCAGGGATTGAACCCAGGTCTTCTGCATCGCAGGCAGATTTTTTTTTAACCATCTAAGCCACTTGGGAAGCCCGCTGCAGAAGCTACATAAATATGGTCTCTCCTTCCTGGGTGCTCAGGTAGTTGGTCAATATATAGCTTTTGAAAGAGCACCGGCTGTGCCTGGGTGCAGGTCACAGGCCATAAACATCAGATCACATAAATAAGTCTGTTCCTCAGTGAGGCAGGAGACTTGGAGGGGTTCCCTTGCTGTGAGATCGGGTCTCACCCTCTCAGATGAAGCAACACACATGTGGAGACCCAAAGGAGGCAGTTGGGTTTGCTGCTCTGGACCCAGGAGCTGAACCCACTGTATCCAGTGACCAATGAATGGGTCTAGACTTGGGTAAGAACTTCCTGGACTGACGGTGATTCTCACAGTTCCCCCAGTGCAAGCTTGGGTACCGAAAATGGGGCTAATTCAGTCCTTTCCCGGCCTTGGAATGGTTCGTTATCGCCGGGCTCCCTGAAATTCCTGACCCTAGAACTCTCTTCCAAACCAACAGCTGCACAGCCCGGAGAATGGGCGTTGAGGGGAGTGACTGGTAGATGTGTCCCAAGGGAGCCTGGCTCTGGGTAGGGGCAGGGGAAGGGGGGAAGGTTCCAGCCTGTCCTCCTTGGCCAAGAGTCAGTGTGGTACCACGTTCAGCCTACAGGCAACTGGAAGCGACCAGCGACCTTGGACCTTGTTGTCTGACGCTTACACCTTGAAGGATGGGGGTGAGGCCTCATGGCCAGCAAGCGCCCCGCCAGGCTTCCGGGGCTGATCAACCCCCCAGAGGTGAATCTGAGCACCCCCAACCACCAGCACCCCGCAGCTCTGGAGTTCCCATCACGGCTGCCCGCCCGCCGGAGTCTCCCGCTCTGCCTCTGTGAGCGTCCTCTCCCAGACCTGGCGCACAGCCTGGCAGACTTCCAAGTAGAGATCGAGAGAGAGGATTGTAAAAACCCACTTTCGTCTAAAAAAATATGTCTACTTAAAAAAAAAAAAAACAGCCTACATTATTTCGGGCTGCGGTAGAGAAAGGCCTTGGATCTGTGACCCCAAGTCGGTTTAGGGCGCATTTCTCCTTACTGAAGCCTCTAAATCAGAGCGTTTCCATCCCCAGCGACTGTTTCTAGGACGGCCCCCACCCCAGCTCTCCTCCTGGCATTCAGGTGCGTCGGGGCGGGGTGGGCGGGGAAGGTTCTGCCTGAACCCAAACCCAGACAAATCCGGCCACTGGAATTACGCAGGCCTCCAACCCCGCTTAACTGTGTGTGTGACAAGCTCGCTTCTCTGGAGTAAAAGGTTGTCACGTGTGTTGTGGTCCCTGCCTCTCTCGCATGCCCACACCTGTCTGGGGTCTTCGGGGGGGGGGGCGGGTGGTAAAGGAGGGGCTCTGTTCTCTCCCCACAACCACCCTGTTTCCAGCTCTGCTCCTGCTCCTAAACTGGGGACGTGAAGCCAGTCTCTTCCGCAAGAGCTTTCTGGACAAGTGTCTAGAAGGCGGCCACCCTCTGGGAACCCCGACTCCTAGGAAGGGGGCCTAACCCCAGTGACTGACCACCCCGAGCTCTCCCAGCTCCGACCCCAGCCTCCCCAGGCCCAGCACAGGTCATCAGATGGCGCAATAATTTTGCGCTACGTCCTGCCTGGCGTGGTCACACACAGCGATGGCCCACCCTAGGCGCATTCTGGGTTTCCAAAGCCGCCTCCCTTCCCCTGAAGGGAAGGCCACAGTGCCAAGAGGTCAGGTAGACCCTGCGCCCTGGGAACACCCGGCCCTCCCACCCACGTTAACCCACTAAGCTTTCAATTGAGTCCCTGCCAAAGCCGGCCTGGCTCCCTTGCCCTCTTGACTGCTCAGCTACCTCTCCACTTCTCAGCTCGAAGTTAAAGGGGAAGAACTGGTGGGGACCCCGAAAACAGCTCATCTTCCAACTCCAGATGGTGGGTCCCAGAAGTCTGCCCAGTGGGGCCGGCAGCATTCAAGCTGCACCTGCCGGGGCGGGGGAAGGCAGCGAGCTCACGGGAAGGACGCAGACTGGAGGAGGTCGATATCCACCTGCTCCGGCCTGCCTCCTCACACCCCACCCCAGGAACCTTGCGCAGCCATGGAGCTGCCGATGGGCCCATTTTACAGACAAGACGACCAAGGCCTAGCGGGCCAGCCTGCCAGCCCCGAGGCTTGGACCGGCTGTCTGGGCTGCCAGCGCCGTCCAGCTTGCAGGCTGGCCTTCCCCCCGGAGCGTCCACCTGGCTCGTTGCCTCTCCCCATCCCCACGCTGCGGTGTCTCCTCCGTCTCTCCTTCCACCCGGCGGTCTCAGGATGAACAGAGCTGAGGCCCAGCGGCCTCTCCAGCACTGGCCTCCCTGCCCGCGGCGGGCACTGCCTGCCTGGTCCTTGCCAGGTGAGAGGGGACGTGGGGAACCGCCCGCCCTGCTCTGGCCTCCATTTCCTCAAATGCAAAGCATTAGTCTGAGGATCCCCGTGGTTTCTTCAGCCTGTGCTATTCATGTGTTAACTCCCTTGGTCCTAACATGGCCTCTAGATTCTTCTTCACCCCGGGGTCCCGCCGGCTCCGGGCCACCCAACAGCGAGAGTGTTTCCGTATCTTTCCGTTTGCCCTGAGACCTGGAGCAGATCCTGGAGCTCCCACCGCGTCGCAGGGCTGGGGTGGTCCTCACACTGAAGCCCACCTCGAGACCCCTCATGGTTCCACCAGCCTCCACCCCAACCCCGTACCACCTCCCGGTGGTCCCTCCCGAACAGGTTAAATTGATTTCGGGTGCTACTTCCGAACTCCCAGCCCTTCTGAGCTACCACAGAAGGGAACTACTCATTTTGCACAATTGAGGTCTTTCTAAACTCATCCTTTTCTCTGCCCTGGGCACCTCTCCAGTCCCAGACTCACTTGGGGTTGGAATAGGGGGTAGTGTCGCCATCAGAGCAGCAGGGCCCAGGTCCCTGAGTCCAGGGAGGAGCCCCCCAGGCTGCTGCCCACCAGGACCCCCAACATCAGCACCGCCGGAGCACTGGGGTCTACCACCTTCTGCTCCCCATTTTGGATGAACTGGGACCCCATAGGTCCAGGACTATTTACCAAACTCTAGGACCAAACTGCAATCCCCGACCCCTCCTGGAGTTCCAATCTGGATGGTCGCCCCCCCGAGGAGACAGACAGATCGCTAGGAGTGAAACACCAGGCCGGTGCTCAGGGCGCAGACCGCAGCCAGCCCGCCCCTGCAGCCAGTCATCGCAGTCCTGTCCGACTCTTCTGTGACCCTATGGACTGCAGCCCGCCAGGCTCCTCTGTCCATAGGATTTTCCCCGGCAAGAATGCTGGAGTGGGTTTCCATGCCCTCCTCCAGGGGATCTTCCCAACCTGAGGGATCAAACCCCAGTCTCCTGCATCGGCAGGTGGGTTCTTTATCTCGCTGAACCTCAGGGCCAAGAAATTCTGGGCCCCAAGGCCTGGAGACTCGCTTCCCAGAGCTGGAACCTGCAGCCTCAGTTGAAGTACTTGCAGCAGCAGTCCACTCACCAGTTCCCAATTTGTAAGCTGCTTTCCTGGAAATCGCCAAACAACGAATGGCCTGCAAGTTAGCCCCTTTCTCCAGACTTCTAACTCAGTTCTGGCTTACTTAAAAATCATTTAACCTTGGGACGGGAGAGGAGGCTTCCATCCTATCTGGACTCTGCACCTGCTTTGTAGCATGCCGATTACTGACCGGCTCACTATGGCAAACCAGTTGCCATCCCTCCTCCCTGGGTTGGAAAGAGACTCGGCTTTTACAAAACCTAATTCTCCTCTAACTTTCACTGACACTTCAGCAGGAGAGGAATCATCGCTACTTTGGTGGAAGGTCGACAAGATAAGTGACTACCGCTCTCCCGCCACCGCAGCTCCCAACGGGAGGAGTCGAGTCGAGTTGGGGGCACCGGATGCGGGGTGGGAAAGGAAAAGAACTTTCCCTTCCAAGAACTCGGGGCTCTGGCGGTCAGGTCACGGGCTCCTGCTCGCGGGAGAAACGCTCCAGCCGGCTGCACGGTGCAGCTGGAAGGCACAGGGCACAGGCGGGGACAGGCCACCGCTTCCAGTCCTCTGGGCTCTGTGTCCTGCGAGGTGCTGGGCTCCAAGCCGCCCGCTGCGGACAGGCCTTCCACACTCCACCCGGGAGGTGGTGTGAAAGACGGCTTAAGACACAGAGATGATGCCAAACACCAGGTTCGGGGCACCCACCATACAAAGGTCGGGTTTACCGACTTCAGGTCGATCGCCCGGCCTGGAACCGCCTTAACGGAGGTGCTCTTTGCTGGAGGGACACCTGTCATGACATTGCACGACCCTTCCCTGTGCCCCATGGCCAAAGGCGTCTCCCTAGTCCCCGCGCAGCTCTTGGGACTCCGCAGCCTGCAGGTCTCCGTGGGGTTGTGCCCCTCAGGCCCCAGAGCAGAGCGTCTCAGAGATGCTCAGAGAAGGGTCCTAATCCCTTCTGCCAGGCTGCAGCCCCTGTGACTGGGCGCAGAGACACCGGAAAGGCATCGGTTCAGAGTCCCAGGGACGCCAAAAGGACCGCTGCGGTGATCAGGCCTCTTGCAGCACAGAGGTTCCCCGCGAGGCACCCACAGGCCGGGTCGGGGCAGGGAGTGCTGTGCCCAGTCGGCCACCATTTCTGATCACGGAGAGCCTGGCAGGACCTCGGAGGGTCCTGGTGACCCTTGACCACCAGGGCATCTGCCCCTCCCGGGCTTGTAATTCCAATCTAGAAAAGGTGACTCTGCTCAGGCCCGCCTGCCACTTCCAAACGAATCGCCTCCCTCTGTCTCTCCTGCCTCATCTGGGTTCACCTCCTTGAGCCAAGTCTCTCCCACCCTGACCTGGGTCTCTCCCACCCTGATCTCTGGAATCCCAGCCCCGAGAAAGCTGAGCAGAGAGCAGACAACCGGGAGGCCCCAGTCTGAGGCCCAGGCGCCCCAGGTGCCCTGCTGGGAGCTCGGCCTGCAGGGCCCGAGCGTCCCTGTGTGTACTCCAGTCTCTCCCAGCTGCGACCAGCAAGCACCCTTCAATTCCCGCCGAGGAACACTGCCCTTCCCATTCATGCAAAGAGAAGTAAGAGGTAAAGAATAAAAGGGGAGTTAAAGAAATGAAGAAAGGAAAGAGGAAAGGAAAGAAGGCACATTCATGCAGCGATTTCTGGTTCGTCCCTCTCCAGCTCTGGCCCAGAGGATGGTCTGGTCGTCTGGGCACCAGGCCCCTGGCCCCTCAACTCCAGGAGGAGCCGAAGTTCTCCGCGGCGACCTCCGCCAGATGTTCCGGCAGCGGCCCGAAAAGCTCAAGCCGCCCCTCCGGGAGAGCTCCGGCTCCGGCTTGGGCCTCCCAGCGCTCCCGGCCGCCCACCTGCGGGCCTCTCACCTTCGGGAAAGACGGCGCGCATCTTCAGGTAGCTCGTGGTGAGTCGGATGATGGACGCCTTGTCCAGCTGCGAGGTGATGGCCGAGGGCAGCGGGAGCAGCTTGGCCAGCTCATAAAACTCGCCATTTTCCTTCTCCCTCCTGGTCTTGGCCGCATTCTTGGACTTCTCCTTCATCGCGCCTCGGCTCCGGGCATATTAGACCCGGCGGTGCTCCAGGCCCCCTGAGCCGCGCTCCGGCTGCAGCGGCGGCGATGGGGAAAGGGGCGCGGGATACCTGGCGGTGGGGGTCGCGGGGTGTGGGGCGCCGGCCGCGCGAGCAGGTGCGCGGGGGCCGACCCGGGGGACACCGGGGTGCCTCTCTGCAGCCGCGCGGGCCGGGAGGTCGGCGCAACCCGGCGGCGCCGCCCCGCGCTCCGCCCGCCGCCGCCGCCGCCCCGGGGCGCAGACTCCTCCTGGCCGAACTGTCCCGCCGCGAACCGGAGCCCCGGCTCCCCGCTCGCTTCGGCCGCACTCTGCCTTCCTTCCTTCTCGTCTCCCCGGGCCGCGGGCTTCCCTTCCAGGACTGGAGAGTGGCCGGCGAGAAGGCGGCGGTGCTGTGTTTTTAGTCCTTGACCGAGTGTTTGTACCCGCTGCCGCGAGGCCCCTCCGTTCTGGAGGGAGGCACAGGCGGCAGCGGCCGAGGAGCCATGGGGCGGAGGGGGAGCGGAGGCGGCTGGGCCCGGCCCGGGAGCGCTCGCCTGCTCTCCCTGGCGGTGCCCTGTGCCCGCAGCTGCGGCGCCCGGAGCCCGCGATCTGCCGCCAGGCGCAGAAGTTCCGCGGTCCACGTGCGGCCGAGACGCGTTTGTTTATGGCGGACCCGCCTTCGGGCGGAGCGCTCGGGCGCCGAGGCCCGGGGAAGTGGGGAGGGGGGGCGGAAAGAGGGGGGGGGAGGAGGGACCGCGGCGGGGGCGGGGGCGGCCAACCTCGCCTCCAGACCCCGCCGCGGCCCCGGAGTCACAGGCGCGCCTCCGCCTCCAGGGACTCTCCCGGGAGAGACCCGCGCGCTCCGGGCCTCGAGGAAGTGGCGGTAAGTGCCCGGGGCGCGCAGCGGGGACGGACTCGGGCGAGCGGGTTGCGGGACCTGGGCGCCGGGGCGGGGGCGTTAGGGGGGCGCTGGAGGACGAAGGAGTGGGGAAGGGGTGCCGGGACCTTCTCGATGGCTCCTGGGCAGCTACAGGGCGGCGCGGCCCAAGTGCCCCGCGGTGGAGGATGAGTCCCCGAGCCCGAGCGGGGCCCCCGCTTCTCCCCAGTTGGCAGGGAGAGCCGAAAGTGCGGCGGGGAGGCCAGTGAGGGAAGAAAAGCGCCCCCCCGAAAGCGCCCCCTCCCCACAGCGTCCCCCATCTCAGGAAACGGCAAGAATGAGGCTCGGAAGTGACCCTTCTGCCCTTTCTCTCCTCGAAACGCGAGAGCCAAAGATTAGCGCCTGCTCTAGAGGAGTCGGAGGCCGCGGGGACGCGCGGATCGCGCGGAGAGAGGGCCCGGGTGGGGGGGGGCGGGAGGGAGCCGAACCTACCGCTGAGGCCTTGCCCTGGGCGGCGGAGAGAACGGGGTTCACCGGTACCCGCTCCCGAAGCCCGACCCAGGGCAGCAGGAGTTTCAGGGAAGCGCGGCTGGAGCCGGTGCTGCGGGGGCGACGGGCTCCGAGGGAGGGGCATCGGACGAGCGTTGCTGGGGCCGAGGTGATGCGGGCAGGAGGCAGGCGGAGTAGGGAGGCGCCCTTGGAGACGCGGCCGGCCGCAGGGCGTAGGACTCCTGGGCGCTTTCCCTCAGGGCCAGCCTGGACCTCCTCTAGTATCCCCTCCCATCCCAACCCCCTGCCTGCAACCCCGGGGGTCCTCCTAAGTACCCCGGTCGCGAAGGTCGCACACACCCCCATCCCTTCCAGAAGCCTGAACCTTCTGGACGTGGTGTGGACGCATGCACTGGGACTCTTCCCGGCGCGCGGAGTCAGAGGGCAGCCGCAGTAGACGCAGGGCAACGGATCCTGGGGTCCCTCGGCCACGTGCTGTGGCTGTGGGCTTGGGGCTGTAAGGGGCCCTCCGATCTAAAGGTCAGCTCGGGAGGGGAGACTCCGGAGCCGCGGGGCCAGGCTCTAGGATCTCCGTCCTAGTGGCTCCTCTCCCCTGGCCCGGGAGGAGCCTGCTACTCAGCGCGCCCACTGCCGTACAGTGACCTGGAACTCGCCTCCCTCCCCGGCGTCTGGAGGACAGGGCCTTCGGCCACCTCGTCGGCTGCAGGCGCCCCTGACCTTTTCCAGGGACCCCTTTGAAGGTCAGAAGTTCGATGGCGTTGGAGGCGTCGTAGCTCCCTCAGTGGGCGGGACAGGGTGCGTAGACCCTGTCTTGGCCCCCGCCTGCCCCAGCGTCCCGCGGAACCCACAGCCGTGGTCTTACTCGAAACCATCGAGCCTAGGGACCTTCGGAGTTGGTGGCCCCCTAACAAATAAATGCCCGGCGCACGAAGGAACTAGCCCTTTTCCTTGGAGTCTCGGATCCAGTAGCGCTTTCCTGTTCCCAGCCGTGCGCGCAGACGGTCGGGCCGGCGCGCGAGCGGCGCGGCTAGGCAGTGCCCAAACGCAAGGCACCTCCGGGCCCGCTTCTGGGCCGGGAATCCCGCGCCCGGCTGCGCGGACAGCGGTGGTCTCCCGCCTTCCGGGGGAAGGGGCTCCAGGAGGGGACGGACTGCCCGCTGGGCCCCGCCGCCCTCGCACAGGCCGCCCCCCGAGTGCGCTCAGGCACCTTCCTGGCTTCGGGGGGAGATTTAAGGCTTCGCATCATCCCCACGATTTCCGATCCTCAATTAAGGACCGGGAGAATTCCTCCTGAGCTTGAAAGGGATTATCCGGATCGCAGAAACATGGCTAAGTGGAAGTGGGAGAAAGTCGACAAGTTAACAGGAACAGAAACGTTCCTGAAACCAAAGTTCCCGGATTTTACGGGAAACGGGACTCGAGATGTCTGCACAGTGGGCGCCGGTGAGACAGTTCGCATCATGTGGTGTGAGACGTAGCATGCTGGGGCGTTTGATGATTCGCACATGGGGGCTCACAACCCAAGATTCGCACATGGGGTCCTGTCCAGGACCACAGTCTGCCCCAGCAAACGTCTAAGTGGGCATTGTATCACCCCCACCCCACCCGCAATATATTCATTCAACACACACACACACCGCGCGGTGACGGCCCTGGACTCCCGAAATAACTGAAAGTACTTGGGCGCGACCTCCGGGTTTCCCCAGGAGGGAAGCCTAGAGCTGTCTGCATGGGATGGCGAAGGAGGGACCCCTGAGCCTAGCTGAGGTGGTCCCCAGGCTCTCCCCACCGAAGGGAAAAACCTGGGGCCCAGGGGACACTTGGGATAGCACCCACAGGATAGAAGCTCTCTGTAAATCGGGAAAAACATTAACTGGAATGTCAGCCAGCGGCCGCCGGCGGGGACACCTCGTGTGTATTCCCTGCTCCACGGCTCCTGAGGGTCAGGGAGTCCCTCCTAGTCTATGTTTTGAGAGCCGATCGCGTCGTCCAGAGCACAGAGACGGGCTCGCAGGGGGCAACGAAAGACCCCCACCACCGCGGGCATCACCCAGAAACAGTCCTCCTGGCCCGGAAGGAGTGGGCAGAATCTGGAATGCGTGGAGGCTGGGGGCCCGGAAGAGGGCAGGTGGGACACCTCGAGTCCAAAAAGCTTCTGCCGCGCTTGCGGGGGGCCTGCTTGTGGGGCGCCATCAGAGCCCCCGCTCTGCTTCCAGAGCTTTAGGCGCACTCCGTGGCGCACGAGCACGCCTATGCACGCGCCCCCCCCCCCCAACACCTCTTAGAAATTTTCCATTAGGAAACTGATCTGGAAGAAATTGAGGCCCGGAGAGGAAGGGGGAGGGGCCCCGCCGACCCACATCTGCTTGGATTTTCCGCTTCAGATGCTCCGCAACTGTTTCTCCTCCGGGCCGCGCCCGGCGCCTACCTGCGGCCCATCCCCCGCGGAAACCGACGTTCGCGTGAGATCAAGGCGGAAACGCGCAGGCTTTCCACCAGGGATGGGCTGCTGCGGGGGCAGAAGGGGATCAAAGGAGGCGGGAGGAGAGGACTTCTCGCAGGCCTCGCACTCGATTTGGAGGAGGGAGTTGAAGTCTCTGAAGCGGTGTTTAGGGAGAACGCCAACCGCGCAACCAGCTTAGCCAGCAGAAAACCCGGGACGACCGAGGTGTGAACCTCTTCGGTTTATAAAGCCTTTGTCTACACAGGCGATTAGTACGATGCTGTTACTCCAGAAAATCCAGCTCGGGTTCGCCCTCACATATACGACTATTTCATGGCTGCCAGGTGTTTTTGCTCTGAGCTATCCCAAAAAAGTACTTCGATTTTTCACTCCTTTCTCTGTGGAAGACCACTGGAGATGTCACCAACTTTTCCTGGGCTCATTGCTCCTCCCAGAGAGGATCGGACAACCATTACAACGTTACTCCCCGTCATATAAAAGTAATAAGAGGTATCCAGAGCAATTTCCTAATGTTATCCATTCTTCGAGAAGCCCGGACAGTAACTCTCTCTGCTCACTCACTTCCAAATAGTGAAAGGAGAGAAGTTTCTTGTTTTGTTTTGCTTTTAATACCTTATGTCACTAGTAGCTACCCGGTAGGAGAAAGTGTTTGCTTTGGGGTTGGTCGGCTTCTTTGATTATCTGATTAGGAGTCGCAGTCACTAGGACAGATCCGCCCTCCTGCACGGGGTCCTGGGGTCCCTTGATGCCTGAGTCCTCTGCAGAGTGTCCCAAGTGGCTCTCCTGGGTGGGAGGCGGAGGGAAGGAGGCACCACCCAGCGGGGGATTATTCCCACCTCCCAGTCGGCTATCCCCGCCTGCTCCAGGCTGACTCTGCCTCCTGGAATTCCGAAAAGAGCGGGGTCCTTGGACTTGGTTCTGGGATTGCTCACTAGAGGGGACCACCTATCCAAGGAAAAGAGTAGCTGCGGCCTGCTTCTCTCCCTCCCTCAAGGCGAAGACATTTAGGGATCAAAATCAGTGCCTCTGGTAATTATAGTGATTAGCACAGTCCCCAGCGAGGGCCGCGGAGAGCCACGGAAGCCGCGGCCAGGTTTGGAGACACAGGCTTCTTCTAGTTTTACCTGGGGGTGGGGGTGGGATGGTGAGGGGCTTCTGCATTCCTTCCCTGTCTCCCAGACCTAGCCCCGATTTCTGCCCCATCTCTGAGAAGGTGCCCGGCGCTCTGGCACCCTCACGGTGCACACAGGCAACCAATGTCCTCGGGAGAGCGCGAGGGTCCTGTGGGAGCGCACGCGGCGCTCAGCCAGCCGCCAGTCACTCCGGCCGAAGGAGAGGGGCGCTGAGTGTCCGGCCCTGGCCTCCTCCCAGCCTTCCACGGCCCAGCGGTAGGAAGCCTCCGAAACACACTCCCAGCGTGCTCTCGCCCGGCTTAACAGAAACGTCGCCTCAAAATTCTGGTTCAGGGAGAGGCGATCCGTCGACTCCCGGGCAAAACCTCGCTTTTGGCCTCCAGCGAGCCCGCGATCGCGTCTGGAAACCCTTGTGCTGGAGGAGTCTTACCAGTCCGGTGTAAACTGAAATTCCTCAGTGGTTATACCAGTTACAGACCGCCTTGAAATCCGAAAACCAATTAGTTCATTAACGAGGGCGCTGAAACCTCCTTTCAAAAACATCAACCAAAACTTTTCCTTAACAAAAAACCAAAAACAAACCCGAATCTCCCCACCAGAGACAATTTTTGCATATCAAAGAAAGCACAGTTCCCCCCCGCCGCGGGTAGTAATAGTAATCGCCAACCTTTAACGTAAGCCTGACTATAATATAGGGCTCTTAACATACTTTGAGGACACAAACTCGTTTTATTAATATTTAAGTAACATAAGGAACTATATGCACAGCGAAACGAAGATGGAGGGAAACCGCCCTGGCCTAAACAAATCTGTAGGAAGAGGTACGCTCGTTCATTCGTGGTTTAGTAAAGTTACACAGGGCCAGCGGGCGGCCGGGCAGGCAGAACCCGCTCCCTGCAGCCTGCCCTGGGCGCGCGCGGCCGCCCCAACCCGGGGCGTGATCGTCTTCCTGCTTCGCGCGGATTTTTATTTTTTTCTTTCGTTTTAAGGGCTAGCATGGAAGGCGGGTTTCCTGAGAGGTGTGTGTGTCCGGGAACACACTCTTCCATCCCAGGAGGAGAAGGTGGCGACGCCCAAAGCAGAGAGCCATCCCGCGTCTGAGCTTTCGGACGCTAAAGCCGGACTTCAGAAAGGCTGGGTGGTGGGCACCCGGTAGGGTACCGCACCCCATCTCGCAGGGCGCGCAGGCGGCGGCGGGGGCCCCCTGGCCGGCCTTCTCTTTCCTGGGAGGAAATCTGGTTTTGGAAGTTGCTGTTCCCCTTCAAGGCACGGGCCGAGCTTCAGGCATGCCCGTGGCCAGAGGTCATCTGAATTCCGCAGAAGGGACTCGGGACTCCTACTCTGGGTGCGGGCCCAGAAAGAGATCCTTGCGGCCAGACTTTGCGATGGGGTTCCCGCCGTTTGCGGGCTCAGAGCCTCGGGACCTCCCGCGTGGTTAGAAACCCGGGAGTGGGCAGGTTGGCAGAAGGGGGCGCAATGCGCACGGCCGCAGGAGAGGCTGAGTCAACACGGAGGGTACAGGGCTCTGGAGGGTACAGTGGCAGACCCGTGCGCACGGGGAAGGGGTGTCAGTACACTTGGGCAGGGGGCTGGGGGCGCAGTGCACGGGGAAGGAAGCCCTGGAGCAAGCGTGCGCGCTGCGCTCACCGCGGGGGCGCAGGGTACAACCCGGCAGGGCCCGCGTTTGCAAGGAGGGAAGCCTGCGCGGAGCTGGAGTGCGTGAGGCTGTGCGCGCTGGGAGGTGTGCGTGACGCTCGCAGGCGTGTGTGAGGGGTGCGGGCGTTGTCCCGCGCGTGCCCGCCTCTCATCCTCCCGGTACGCGGTCTGCCTTCTCCCCAGATCCTTTCGTCGTGGAGAGGAGGGGCCTGGGGTCCGCGAGAGGTCTGGGGAGAGGGCGAGAGCCGGCGCGTGTTGATGGATGGAAGCCTGGTGGAAACGGAGAGACCCGTACTTTCATCTCGGCTTCGCCAAAGATCCCTGAGCCGTCCCCGGCTCGCGCGCTTGCCTGCAGCCCGGATCCGGAGTCGGGTTCTCAGGCTGGTGGTTCCGCCTTCTGGGAGAGAGATCCGGCGTGGTACCCTGATTGAGGAGGGAGGTGCGATTCCCCTGCGCCGTCCCTCGCCCCCTCTTAACTGCCCCAAGACAGAATTCCTTTTAGTTGCCAGAACAAATACCCAGGAGGAGGAGCACGTTTTCGCATAAATGGGGACTTTTTCGTATAACACTTTTTCTTAGTTCAAGAGTATTTTCCCTGGCAAAAGTATCGGTTAGCTGATAAACTACAGGGTGAATGCAAACTGTGCGGTTTAGGGCTATTTTTGGCCCCAACTCCAGCACCGTCTTCATTTTTTAGAGGGCAGAAACAAACACCTTGGTTACAGCACCAACGTTCTTTTCGACCAACGGGTGCAGACAAAGACATTATTTAATCTGACTACGAAATTCTCAGTTTTTATCTCCGAGAAGCTTTTGAACCAGGTGAGCCCTCCGGCACCCGGCGGATTTTCAAGTTCAAGGGTACTTTGTTGTCGCTTTCCCCCTGACGGCAGGGGCGATCAGGGTGTGAGTGTGCGCAGTGGCTTCGTGGAGTTGTGCAAATGCTACTCCGCTCCAAAGATCGAAGCTAATTACACTTTTCTTCCAGTGGTGTGAGACTTAGTTTCAATCTTGCATTTCATTTTGGAGAGTTCCCACCAATTACTAACCCACGGGCTGGCATGGAGTGGGGAGGGGCGAGGAGAGTTTATTGCGAAATCTAACTTTTGAATAAATACAAGCAGGCGTGGGGAGAGAAATGCGCGGTGGTGAACGCCGTCGTTGGAGCGTGGTCTGGCGACCTGGTGAGACAACAGGCACCAGGTTCCACGTCTTTCGGGGGCTCTCTGCACGGTCTAGACCAAAAGTGATAGCCGAGAACAGTTGTTGAACGCCTTAAATATCGGCATTGAGCACTGCAAAGCTCCTATACGAATTTGCTTTACTTCCCGGAGAGTTGAGGACCGGGGAGGAAAAAGCCCAGCGCCATGACTCCCGGTGCACAAATAATTTTAGTGTTTATTGATGTCTACTTAAAGTAATTGACCAGAAAATACCTCCCTGTCTAAGCCACATAAAGAGTGCTCCATTGAAAGCTAATTGACCTATTTATGTTTCAGTTTAGCTTGATGTCTCCATCGTTCTTTTTGCAAAAGCTGTCAACTCTGACAAAGGAAGGAAAGTGGAAGCCAGGGAAGCTGCACCTGCAGAAAGTGCTGGAATTCTCAGGCCAGCCCCACCTCACTGTCCTTTACCTGTACTTGGAACTTTCTTACTTAGTCATTTGAAATCCAGCAGTTACTTGGGTTTTCCTAAGTAAAACCCAGAAAGGGAAATTCGTGCTCATTAACATGCACAAACATTTAAATTTCTGAGTGGCCTGGATTGAGTCAAGAGGAAAGGATTCTGCCTGCCATAGCCACAGCAGATCCTGTAAAAACTGACAACTTTCAGTGGAGGATAGAACGGCAGTAATTGAGACACACAGAGAAAATCCCTTGCTAGAAAAAAGAAAGGAAAAAATGCTCCAAGTAAAAGTTAGGAAATTTATTTTTGTACAAAAATCTTTTGAACCTTTTTTGACAGTAAATGTATTTTGTTAGTTATGTGGGTGGATCTGAATTTCTCTGAGACCCTTTGCACGTGTGAATCTGAGATTCACTCACAGCAAAGATGAGTAATGGATCTTTGAGGAATCCACGCTTTAAAGTTGATGTTCCGTGTTGGTCATGGAAGCAGCTTCACTTTCGATACTTTATGAGGTGGTTGTCAAGGGAACCTTGGGTAAAAATTTCTCAGGAGTGTCTCTGAAAACATTATTCATAATTAAAAACTGATGCATAGAAATCACCAGAAAAATTATGGCAAGTTATGTTCAAACATGTTTTTCGACCATGTGGAATAAATAAAATCATTAAGGTCTGGTTGGGTAAGACTGCTTCCCTGCCTTCCTTTGACCGTGCCAGGAGGATCTTGTAGAGCTTCATGGATGTGGGAGCAACCTGTGGGTTGCTGTGTGTGCTGAAGGGGACCTCCGTTTTC